CCAATAAAGTTTGCCCTCACAGTTTTCTGGAACTGCGGCTTCTTCAAACTTGAACTGTGACCCCTTGTGGGGCGAGCGTCCGCCAGCTCCAAGTAAGGACACTCGACTGAGTAGTGCCCCTTGAGATACTTATACACCTCAATTAGGTCACCCCCTTGCCCGTCTGTAGTATAAGCTAGGCAAGTTCAGGCGCTCCAATCTTTCAGGGTAGCTCAGGTGCCGAAGTGCAGGCACCAGTCTGGTGGCCCTCCTTTGAACATTTTCAACCAACTGACAGTCCCTAGCATATCTCGGGGACCAAACGGGGTGACAGTACTCCAGATAAGGAAGCACTTCACTCTTGAAGATCGTTACGAGGGATATCTGGACGACCTTCTTATAAGACCCAATTATTTATTTGCCTAATTTACCTTCTTCTCGCAATGGCCCGAGATCTTCAGCTCATTTTCAACATACACACCTAGGTCCTTCTCACATTCAGTCTCAAATAGTGCAGTTTCTTCATCCCGTTGGGACATATGATACGCCTCCTTACCTTTGGTATGCCCCAGGTGCATCCTCTTACACTTCGTGACATTGAATCTCAGCAGCCATTTCTTCAACCATTCTTGGAGCTCACAGAGATCCTTCTGCAGCTCTTCACAGTCCGCATGGTTCTTGATATCTCGAAATAACTTGGCTTCATCGGCAAACATTTGTATGGAGGAGTGTACGTCAGGCATGTCATTTATGAAACAAACAAACAACAGTGGGCCCAATACACTGCCCTGTCGTACCCTGCTTGTGACAGGTACAGATGCTGATTTTGTGCCATTAATCACGACACACTGCTTGCGGTCATATAGAAAGTCTTGTATCCACGCTAGGACATTTCTCTGAATTTCATACCCTTTAAGTTTGATTTTCAGCCTTTCGTGAGGTACACTGTCGAAAATCTTGGCAAAATCTCAATATATATATATTGTCAATATTACCACCCCGTTCTAGAATATGGGTCCAAATATCCAATACCTTGAGCAATTGTGTTAAGCAGGAGCGCCCCTGCACAAAACCGTGTTGGCAATCCTTTACAAGATTGCGTCCTAGTAGATGTTCCATCGTGTCATCTCTGATAATACTCTCAAGTACTTTACATATTATACTAGTCAGGCTCACCCGTCCATAGTTGTTCATGGAGTGACGATCGCCCTTCTTGAAGATAGGACTCACATAAGCCATTTTCCAATCACTGGGGACCTTTTGTTCATCCAGGCATTTACTCAACAGGATCTTCAGAGGCTCGGTAAACTCGTTGCACAATTCTCTTAGCACTCTGGGATGCACCATGTCAGGGCCGGGACTCTTATGGACCTTTAGCTTTAACAGTTTATTTCTAATACCCTCTTCTCTGTACACAATGTTGGTCAGTGCTGTGTCAAACCATCTGTCCTCAAATGCAGGAAGGAAAAAAAAAGTTGTTCATTGCATCAGCTTTATCTTAGTCAGAATCTGTGTAACTACCATCTTCAAGCCTCAGGTATGATACTCCTACTCGCATTTTTAATTTTGACTGCATAGCAGTAAAACGCCTTTGGGTTTGACGTCTCTGGAACTCCTTTTGAGCCCTTCTACACTTTGCCTTTGCTTGGTTTCTGGACTTGCATACATCCTCCTGTCCTGCTTATCGTTTGACCCAACCCACGTCTTGAATTTCTGGGTTTTCTTCTTAACTTTGTCAACTGCCGCATGGTTCATGTTTGGGGATCCCCTCCTATTTTTAGAGGCACTGGGTTTGGTCTTGAGTGTATATTTATCGATCAAATTGGTCACTTTACTAGTTGTGATATTCAGCGTAGTGTCTGCGTTCTTGTGCCTTAATGAGTCAGGCCAGTTGATACCCCTCATCTCTTCCCTCATCCCATTGTAATTTCCCTTGTAATATTTGCACCTTAGCCTGGCCTTATCCTGAACTAGGTAAGAGTTAAATCTGAATGACAACACTATATGGTGATGGGTGCCAACTGGGGCAAGGTGTTCCAGTTTGGCCACCATACCCTCCTCCTTTGTTATGAAGAGGTCTAGTGGCTTGGGTGTTTGCTCCCCTCTGTAATGTGTCGGGTCTCTAACATGTTGGAATAGAAAATTATCTCTCAGAGTTTCTACAAAAAGAGTAGCAGGGTTATTCAAGTCATTTGGGGTGAACTCATTTCTCCGGTTGATGTCGCCATAGTTAAGGTCCCCCATGATAAGGAAGTGGCTAGGGTTGAGCATTCCCGAGTTATCTATTAAGGCTCTTAAGTTCCTTTGATTGAGTTGGCCACAGTTTAGGGATCTGTAGATACACCCGACAATAAGTACCGGTAAGTCCCCTCCCTTTAATTTAATTTTACACCACTTGGACTCTTCAAAAACATCCTCTCCCTGTACCCTTGCCTGGCTGGCTCTAAGGTCTTGCCTAGCATAGATAACCACACCCCTCTTGCAAGTTTTTTGAGAAAGGTTTGTAAATGAGTCATATCCAGCAATACTGAACTCGCATTCCTCTGGGTCGCTTCTCCTGTTCTTGTACAACAGTTCTACAACTCCTACAATATCGGGTTGGTGTACCTTCGGCAGTGTTTCAAACTCCTCTCTCTTATCAAGGAACGTGTCAGTATTAGTTTGTGTTGGTCCTTTTTGTAGATATATATCACATACAAATACTGTATATGTATTAGTTCTGGAATTAATAAGTGGCGGGGCTGAAGTAAACACTGTTGGATTTTCTTTATTGTAGAACATTTTAGTTCCACAGGTACTTAGTTCAGTTGAGAATACAGCCACTCCTTAACTTACGACCTACTCTACTTATGACCACCCGGACATACGACCGCCCCAGTCGTACCAATATTTTTTTTTAAATTACATATATTTGAGTTCCGACGTTAGTGATTGCGCTGTGTACTGACAAAAAATTTTTTTGTAATTCCCTTTAAAATGGCTGGCAAGCTTAAAAGTGAGAGTTTTGTGGTGCTGAAAAGAAAAAGAGACACCCATTTTAGATTTTCTATGTATTATTTTTGCATTTTCGGCTCCAATTGGACTTACGACCTGGATTTGGGTCCCTAACCCCGCCGTAAGTCGAGGAGTGGCTGTATATTATACCTTCTCTACTAGGAGAAATTTCTTAGTGTACGTACACAGGAGAACACCTAAGTGAGGTGTTCTCTGGGTAACAAAATTATGAGTGATCTCTCCCCAGCCTCTATATACACAGTCATGCGCTGGTAAACGTCCTAGATACGTTCTTGGAAACGTGACGTTAACCGATCATCACGTAAACTTTGTATTTATACTTACGTGTATGTGGAATACTATATCCGTACATATACACTTTTACTCTTAAATCACTACTGTAATGTGATACAGGTGATTAATTTTTATCTCTTGTGTAAAATACATGACGTTTATATTAAAATTATTCACTGTTTTACAAGGATTCCAGCAACGCTGGGCAGATGAGGGAGAAGGAGGGAGGGAGCGAGCGAGGGGGCGTAGGGGAGGGGAGGTAGTACGTTTGACAGTTGGCGCAGGCCCAGGTCTAACGCGTGTATATTTATCAGTTCTTAAGTGACTAAGCTTCTCTCTTATAAAAAGCCAGTGAAATGACCTGGGTGAATATAATTAACATTGCTGGGATTCTTGTAACATACTGATTAATTTGAATATAAACATGCTATAATTTGTACTAGACAAAACAATTTTAGTACCGTAATCAAATTAGTACATGTGCACTACAGCTTTGCACTAAGAAATCTATATAAATCTACCCAAAAATACAGTTGAAAAACTTTTTTATAAAATGTACTACAGTACTATACACTAATGTACAACAACTTTTATCTCTTGAGCAAAATATATGACGTTTATATTCAAATTATTGGCTGTCTTGCAAGGATTCCAGCAATGCAAATTATAATCTCCTCACTTTAGTCTGAGATATTATATAAGATAAAAACTGTAATCCTAAAAGGCTGGGGGGGGGGGAAGGAGGGAGGGACTGATGGAGCCAGCTAGTCAGCGAGGGGTTGGGGGGATGGGGGGTTGAGGTGATAAGTTTGAGCCGAAGGTCTCTGTGTGTTTCTTTAACAGTCCTACTTTGCTTCTCTCATTTTAAAATGCCAGTGATATGACCTAGGAGAATATAATTAACATAGCTGGGATTCTTGTAATTTACTGATTTATTTGAATATAAACTTGTTGTAATTCGCACTAGACATAACAATTTTAGTACCGTAATCAAATTAGTACATGTACACTCCAGCTTTGTACTAAGGTCATTTATTTCTTTTACGTTTCATTTAGTATGGTGTGTGCATGTAAATGGATGAAAATAAATGAAGAAACTTATGTAAATCTACCCAAAAATACCGTTGAAAAGTTTTTATAAAATGTACTATAGTATTGTACGCTAATGTACTTCATT